CATACAATAATTTGAATTTTTAACCAGAAATTAATTAGAAAATGTATCATTATATTTCTTTAAATTAGAAATTAATCAATTAAAAAAGATTTCGAAAAGTTTTAATACAGTACATTCAATATTTTTTTTCTTTCACAGTTTATATAACATAAATAAGACAACGATAAGATTAGCATTGTTTCTAGCTGAAGTTTGTTAGTGATTTCCAAATAAAAGAGTTTTGTCATGTTTTCTTTGACTTTTTGGACTAAGTTTAACCTACATAATTGCTTTTGTCATACTGCCGTACAAACTTCACTTCTATTCAGTTGTCACTTCCTTTTTTCCTTTTTGTTTTATTTAGAGAAAGACAGTTTTTATTCTGTTTTGTATTCATCTTACGAAATGGCTTTAAACGGTATGAAAGTTATTGGAGTAATCTAAGTCACAGAATTAATTTATTTTTCAAATAAGCTTAAATTAGATTTAAAGAACGTGTATTATTTTAATTAAAAAATAAAACTAAAAATTATTTTCAGAATGTAGAATAAGTTCCTTAAAAAATTAGTTATTTAAATATTTTCACATTTTTATCTCGCTTATAATATTAAGCATTTCCAAATTTTTTTTTTTAAAAATTAATCAATAAAGAAATTATGACTTTTTATAAAAATTAAAGATACAATGGGTTTTGATTGATTAAAAGGAATAAATCAAGCTTGTTTTGGCCGGTTTTTGCATTTATTTTTATAATTTTTAAAATAAAATGCTAATGATTGAATTTGTAAATGTATTACCGATCATGTTTTAAGTAGTTAAGCGAAATAAAAATCGTTTTCTTCTTTTCAGATAGCATATGATATAAGCTATCTTACATAAAGTCTTTCCAGGATGGAAAAACAGCTAAACCTACTCCCTATCTTCTTGCTGTCATTTGACAAATCTTCATCTGGCACAGGAGTTCCAGGTCATTAGGTAAGAGATGTGTAAGAGGATGACACCAAAGACACTTCCAGGAGGATCTGGACGAAGAGAGGGAGAGAAGAACCGGATGTTAAAAAAGAACCACCGCTACAACACATAAAATATTAAAGAAATACCATAAAAGTGATTACTTTCATAGGCTTCGATGTTACGAATTCTAACTTTTTTTCCCCCTTCATTTAAGAAACGTAATTTTATTGATCAGACGTTTTTCAGTTTAGAACATAGGCAATTTTCAAAATTAAATTATTATTTTTCCATTGACAGGTGTAAGCATAAATTTGACTTAACACCTTTATTTATACGAATTTAAGACAATAAGGCATCTGGAAGCAACCATTATTGATGTTCAATACGAGCCAAGTATACTCCTTTGCGCGATTGGTCGAAGCGATAGCAGTAGGTGTTGCCTAAATGCAGTGCCCACCTACTAGGTCTTATCCCACTAGCACATCGATCATAGCGTAAAGACACTGCTGCGGGGTGTTGGCTGCGTTCGAGTAGTCGGAGTAGTCCAGTGAAGAGGGTAGCGGAGAGACTATTTCCGCGATGAGTTGTGCAGAAATAATGTATCAGCCGTACTCGCCGTACTTTCCGTATCAGAGGCCGGCGGCTGCAGCGGTGGCTGCTGCCGCCTCGACTCCTACAGCAGCAACTAGTCCCGTCACCTTAACGGCGGCACCTCCTCCCATACCACAGACTCAACTGTCTAAAGTAAGTATTCTTTCCGTAGCTCCAAAAATGCGAACAAAATAAATAAAAGTACCGAAATGCCAAACCGATACGATGTATTTAATATCGAGACGTGTTTCGTTTCAGAAATTTGGAATGCCCAAAACAAACGATGTTCTGGAACACGCTGCCGCTTCTACAGCTGCCGCTAGCGGAAGCGACTATAGCNAAAAGCCTCGTAATCATGATCTAGATTTTCTACGATTAATCAATAAATTTTATAAACCGAAGTATAACCGATGAGTGTTCTATATTTATTGTCATCTCTTGGTTTAATATATTCAATTGCTTTATAAATTATTAACTTTTTTCTTTGTTGCTTTATTTTTATTTACAAATTATGCATAGTTTAAATTCGTTTTTTATCCTATTAAATAGGGATTAAAAAGTGTTTTGCTATTTAAATCAATTTAGTAGTAGTAAGTAAGCATCGTAAGTTTGCATGATCTAGATTTATAGTTGGGTCTATATAAGAACACATGTTTCTCGCTAAGTTACATAAACATGAGTACAAATAGAACTAGAAAAACAATAGAACTTTAATCATCTTCGGTTGTAGCTCTATACAAGAACTATTCAATGTGGCTTAATCTGTCACATTACGTAATTTCAAAACAAATTATTTTAAAATATTATACATTTATTTATGTCATTTATATTAAGAATATTTTTTACAACTTGAAAAAAATAAATTCAATTTCCATAAAATATAAAATATCAATAAAATTAATAAATTCTATGAATGAATTAAATAATTTAAAATATCTTGTAATCTTTATTATAAATAATTCACTGTAATGCATTAAAATTGAAACTTTTCATATATTAAATCTTAAAATATGAAGCTTATTCGGAAAAGTGAATAATTAATATAAGTTATTTACAGAGAATTAAGTTTCATTACTTATTAAAAAGAATTTAAAATTGTTATTTTAGTTTAAACTTTTAAGTAAGTCAAATAAAAGCATCGGACTAAGTTAAAATGATAATCCAAAGAAATAATTGAAAAAGTCTGGTCTAAAGTTTAGCTTTTCAGTCAAAAATAAATACTTTTGTACGAACAACATATTACAAAAGTAAACTTGTGGTGCATATAAATGCATGCAAATCATTTAAATATTAAAAAAAAAAAAAGATAATTAACATGAAATATGATTTCTTTGAAATAATCTTGTTTTTAAAATTATCTTACTTAAAAGTTATTAAAGCAAATTAAATGTATATTAAAATCAATTAATTATCTTCATTTTTATAGGCCTATCATTAATTTTGAATATGATTTACTATAACATTATTTAGGCTAAGTTAAACAAGCACTATTAACAATTAATATATATAAATTATCAATGCCTAGTTATAGTTTATCTCGTAATAAAACATGTAAAATCGGGTAATTTTCAGTGATTACTTTCTTGTTAACTTAGTATTTAAATACTGGTCTACTAAATATTTTATTATTTCCTTAAATCAATATAATCAAAAACTCAGTATCTTCAATGTAGGCTATATATTTATACTACTCTCTATTTGTAATACTCATTCAAAGAAATTTGACTACATTAAATTTGATACTTGTAATTTAAGATTTATTAGAAGAAACGTTTATGATTAGATATTAATATTAAAATTTATTAACTTAACGAAATTATTTCTAAAATTCCAATATTTAATAATGCAAGATTGTCATTGGAATGCATGCTCTTATAAGTCTTTCTTTTATTTGTTATTGGTCTGGATCTTTTTGAGGAAGACAAAGACGAATTGACTATGTTAAAGACTTAACTCATTCTTGTAATGCGCAAAACTTGAAGGTTAACAAAATGCTTTAGGCCATAGATTATAATTCTTAGTTATAACATAAAATTTTAATTGAGTTTGAAAAATTTTTAAATTTGCAAAGATATTTTTAATTATAATCAAATTTTTTCATAAAAGAAACCAAGTTTTTAAGTTTCTACAACTAAGGGAGAGAAATTATATGCAAATATAAAATAACCCTTTATTATTTAGTATTACTCTTAACCAACAGATGGCGATAATATATTAATAATTTTTTATGCAATATTTTCTATTAATAAGACTTAACTTAAGATCTTTTTAAAATATATTCTTGACGTTATAACTTAAATAAACGTTTATAACAAAAAACCCGGGAACATCTTATTTGTTTTAAAAACACTAAAATGAAATTTACATAATTAAACTGTAGAATAAATCAATACCTCTACAAATAATGTGAACTACAAATTACAATATAATACAAGCTATAATAATTTAACAGGATAATCAATAGAATTATTAAACTTATTTAGGTCATATCAATTAGCATATTTAATAAATTAGGATAGATTTTTATGTGTTCATTATCAATATGCTTATTAGTTATTTAAAAGCATTATCCAGAAAAGATTGCTAGTGTTAGTGCTATAAGAAAGAAGAAGTGCGTGTTGCTTGTCTATATACTGTACAGTACATAGTCACTTAAAATACAATTGACATGCTGAAGAAATGAGTCAACTGTCTTTTTTACACCTTCAGAAAAAACGGTTTGAGTAAATAATATTGTTAAAACTAACATTGTCAAAGAAAAAGTTATTAAGCTTGATTTGCAACTTCTTTTCATTTTTTTCCCTTTCTTTTTGCAAATGATGTTTAACAATTTTACATTAAAAATTTATAGTTTATGTATTAAATATATCATTAACTAATTTGCATGTTAAAAATGAATTAACATATTAGATCAAACATTTAATAATTAAAAATCTACATTCAATTTAAAATTTATAGATCATTGTTATCAAAAATTATCGAAGGTATGCAAGTCTGCATTAAATGAAAAAAAATGTAAAATTTAAAACTATTTTATAAAAGTTTATTAATTTACATATTAATTAGTGAGTGATATGTAATGGAAAAAAATGATTGCGTTAATCTTCTCAATTATGATATTAAGATCAATTAGAAATAGATTAACATTACCAGTTTCTATACGATAGGCTATATTATTTATTTAATTACCGTGATATTTATTTTCTCTTTGAATTTCTTATTTGAAAGCAGAAAAAAGATTAATTTTAAAAAAGATAATTCTATGATAAATATGATAAATCTGCATTCTTCGAGGGAAACATTATAAAGAGAAACTTATTTTTGATAGATTGATGAGTTGCAAGATATTGTTCTTGAAAAGCGTCACGGTTGTCAGCACGAATGTATCGTCACATTTACGGTGTCTTCACATTGAATATCATGTGTTCTGAATTTGTGCGTTGATGACTTAAGCACATTTTTGTTGTCACGCTAGCAAATCTCCTCTGGAATATTAATTTCAAAAATAACTCCCATGTATAAAAATAAAAGTAGTGTTAATAGATTTTTTCCTCAACTACACGTAAAAAATAGAATAACATTTTCTATTCATATTTTTTTTGCAGTGTTTATCGTTGTCTTCACAATATAAAATTGCTCTTTACGCTTTCATATTCCTATTTAGTAAAGAAATTCGATACTTTTATAAGTACAGTACAGTACATACGCAACATAAATTTTTCTATAATGTTTAAATTTCATTAAAATAAATCTATGTCGGAAAATAATTACTGAAAATTTATTAGTTTGTATCATAAAGAAATGTCTTTCCCATAAATATTTATTAAATATAACAACTTAGTATTAACATGAAATCTATAATATCATTTTTTTACTAAAATCCATAACGTATTAGATTTATTTGCTAATGACGCTAAAGTATAACTTCAGCGTCATTAATATTAACAATATTATGTAGCGAATGAATCATTGTTACATTAAACCTAGTTGAAATACGCTATATTTATTTGTTTATTATTCGTTTATACATGTAAAACGATAATGAATATATTTGTTCAATGTTTGGTCTGTTGATTAATACCGTAGAGCTCTCATTTTAATGCTCTTAAGGTAAACAAAGTTTTTAAATGTTATATTTACAATATTTTATTTTATTGAAGTAGTTAAAAATTAAATTTATTTACCTGTTTTCATTATTTTTTTCAGACATGCCATATAATATATAATTATAAATTTACATAAACAAGAACTTGTACGCTAGACATGTTATACTTTAATATATTTTTAAGCATTTAGAATACACCATTTTAATGTATGCTATTAATTGAAATCTAATAGCACACATTCAACATTATAAAAATATAAAGTGTAATGTAGACAGAATGTAAGTCTAGTTTAGTTTTAAAGGTATAGTGCAACATTAAGCTTATTCTTATCTGATCTTAGTTCTAGCTAGAAAGATGATATCCATACAGCTGTCGTAGTTCAGTCCTTATAACGGTAAATTGGTTGTGGGTGTTATATGAAACATTATTCTTAATAGTTCTTATTAAATCTGTTTAAATTTAGGTTTTGCCATTTTGCAATCGGGTTTAGTAACGCTCTCGCTATTAACCAGAAATAAAAAAAGCTCTCGTTAATTTAGAAACATAAAGCGTGGCAGATGTAACCCATTTATTTACCTTTAATACTGACTTTTTTCAATTTTTCTTATTTCAAAATATATTTTATATTATCCTGATAATCTTTTAATTATGACTAAACGCATATAAATGTACTGTACTGTAATCCGGAATAAAATATTAATCAATCATCTCTTCCCTCAATAACGATAATGAGGAATAAGCCTTATATTTAGACTATGATTTTTGAAAATATAAATAAATAAATGCAAATGATATATAACGATATTTTTATTATTTTCAGGTCTGTATATTTATTTATATTTTTAAAATTCATATACATACAGTATGTAAAATATTGTCAATTTAATTATTTTATTTATTATCTTCTTATCAAAAAATTAACTTTCAAAACTATTAATTTCCATTTTTATTGGAGTTTATTTGATTTAAATAAATTTTAGTCAATAATAAAATTTATATTTTTGAAAATAATAGTAAGACTTACCTATTATAATTATGTCGTATGGACTAACATATATCAATAGTAAAACTATATGTTAGCCTGCATGACTTAAGACTTACTTAGAATCTATAACTTTAACTTATGACTATACAATATCATTAAGTTTAAGTTATAATTAATATATATTAAATTTATAAGTTAAGTCAAATGTCTTTGCTGAAATCAATAATTTGCATTCAATATCTTATTTATTTAACAATCTCGATTTGTAATCATTCGTACAAATATTTTATATTTAATTGTAAATTAATTT